ATTCAATAAAAGGCATTCTAAAGAAAAGGCCTGATTGATGATGATAAGCTGCAGAGGAAAAAGGATGCAATCAGCAGTTATATCACCACATCTCACAACATTAAAAATCTCAGGGCATTTCTTGAAAAGAATAGGGGTGTTACCCTGGTGTCCTGGCCAAATTTCCCCCTGGCCTTTACCAGTCATGGCCTCCTAATAATCCCCATCTCTGAACTGGCTTCATTACTCTGCTCTCCTCCCCACTGAGAGCTGGTGTGTGGGGAGTGTACTGGTTCACTATGGCTGCCAGGGCATCATCCAGGTGGGGGCTGCACACTACTGGTGGTGGAGGGGATCCCCATTACCTGTAAAGTGCTTTGAGTGGAGTGTCCAGAAAAACACAAATGTGTAAAGAATTATTATTATTATTATTATTATTATTATTATTATTATTATTATTATTATTATTATTATTATTATTAATCAGACTCTGCCCTGACACAGCCAGCAGCAAAGAACTGCACCGTCCCTACTATTCCCTAATTGAGAATACCGCTGACCGTCAGGGTGGCTGAGTTCCAGGGGGATTGATTAGAGATGTGATTGCCGGCAGCGCAGTCAGTCAGGTAGATTAATCTACGGGAATAAAGGGGGGAGAAAATCCTAATGACCATTAAAGATTGCTCCTCTGGGTATCCATTCCTCAAAAAGTCATGTGCAGTCAGTCATGTAAATGCAATCTGGATGCTTAATAAATCTTGCACAGGATTTTCATGACAGATGATTGATTGGTTACAAGCAGGTGGCCCGATCTGATGTCTCCTACTCAGAGGGAGAACAGCGCCCCCCTCAGGAACCCCAGAGTGCTTTCACAAAGGTGTGCGGAATCTTAATTTGGACCAGGCTTAGATTTTCAGGCAAAGCTACTGGGAAGCAGGATGCCTGCAGCGGGGTACAGTGGGAAATTTGATCAAGCACATTGAAGGTACCCACCGAGAGCTGAGGCGGGCAAAAACCTTTTACTGCTTATTTTTCTCCTTTTTTTTCTTTTAAATAAACTGCACTCTTTCGCAGGCTTTGTTCTTGCTCCAGGAATGGAAATGCCTTCCTAACTTTACCATTTTTAAAGGTTAATGCGTTTTGAGGGTAGGCACTGGCAGCTCTGCTCGCAAACCAAGTCAAGCTGAGCGTGTTTTTGATTATATAAAATTAAATTACTGCCACCAAATGGAAAACATGATTGATTTTCACCGCAGATACGGTGAACAACTACTTGCGGCCTTGCTTAACTTTATCAAGACAAATCCAGTGTGAGCAGGGGGTGATTTTCTGTTTGAGTTTTGAATACAATATTGTGGTTTCAGTCTCAGTAGAGGTAAGCACTCCCAGAACATCATTCTCCAAATGACGCAAGACTTTAAAGGCGCAGAAAGAATGAGACGCAAGGTTAAAGGCTGTCCTTTCACATCAGTAAATTCTCAGAGGTGGAATTCATGATGTAGCTGAGAGTACTGTGGTCTGGCATGTCTTGGGTTGTGTAGTTTTTGCTTTTTCGGTATTATTTTATTTCACTTTTTAAATTGAATGTTTTTTCATAGACCGCTTGGCTAACATCAAATACACCTGAAAGGCGCCTTGTCAGCTCCTGTTCATTTTTGTGATCGTAAAATGACCGGGATTGTGGTGGGGTTTTTTTCCTAGCGGAATTGTCGATCCGAACAGTACTGTTGCCCAAAGCCCTGTGTGCTGAGTGATGTTGAAATTAAAGCTTATCAACTGCTGCATCACAGCTAGTTTGTTCCTCTCCAGGATTTGGTTTTATCACTGTCTCCAGTTAATTTGGACCGATGAAGATCAATGTGCTTATTAACGAATTGGTGGAAGTTAAGTCTTATAATGGAAGAAGTAGAGTAGAAGAGTCAGTTCCGTCTGTCCCCAGTGTTGCAGGAGGCACAGAGGAGAAAAGCCACACTCCTGTGGGCATGGTGTGCTGCAGGTGTCTGTAAGATTTATGGTCCTTCCCATGATCCTCGCTGGCAGGAAGACAAGCCGGTGGCACTCTGCAATATGCCAGGCTGAGCTGGACAGGGGCACAGCACTGTGAACAGCCAGCTTTGGAGCAGATCAATGGAGTGAAGGGTTTAACTCTGGAATTCCCCCAAATCCTCCTGTTTTTGTCAGCTTATGTTTTTTACATAATGAGCTCATACTCTGAGGGTAATTATTCATCCTTTTCAGCGCAGATCTCAAGAAGCCACATAGCATCTTGGAAATGCACATTCACTGGAAAGGCACAAACATACAGCCCTCACCCCTTTAAAACAAAGTCCCCCCCAAAAGACTGCACTTCTCACGTGAGAAACTAAGACACTTCACTGCAGCGCCGTTATACGGCCTTCAGGTTCTGAATTTTTCCGTTTTTCTGTTTGTTGTTAATTTTTGAAGGACAAAATATTTCTCTGGTAGGGGAAAAATACAAAAATGATTTTTGGCCCTTTCCTTGCCTGTATCTGAACTCCACAGCAGCTTTGAAGCAAAATGTGCGTTGTCAGTTTCAGGTTGACTAATTTTGACAGCAAATACAGTCATAGCCTAGAGGTTTTGAGAAGAAAAGTTGTTAGGAAAATAACCCATTATCGATTTCATTATCTTGGGGAATTAACATCATTGTCCAAGATATTTAGGGCGATTCGTTCTTAATTTGTTCTATTAACAGAATAGTTGCTGTGTCAGTAAACGTGACTCTCTAACCTTGATAAATCTCATACTTAGCAGGCAGTTCACAGAGTTTCTCAGCTTCTTGCTATCTCTGAAGTGTTACCCATCCTCATATTTATGTGTGAGAATAGAGAGTGGTGCTGAATTTTCTGACTTTAAAGTTTGCTCATTAAAATGATCTATGCAAAGATGGGGTCGATGTTTTTGAAATCACGTATTCATGAGTAAAGCTTTTGTGTACAGTAAATTAATGATAAATTATTCAGCCTTATCTAGAATTTTCAACAGAACAAATTTTTTAAAAGAAATCCAGCTGCATAACAGTATTCAAATCGCTGCAGGCAACTGGAGTGTAATGTGTTTGTCTATATTAACAGCTGCATTAGCTTAGCTGTCCCTAAAAACCCCTCAGATCCTCCTGCCTCTGTGTGTGAAGGCTGGAAGTGGATGAAAAAAAAAGAAAAGCCTTTGTCAGTTTTTATAAAAACAGAATCAAGGACTTCAGCTGCTAGTCTGGCACAGGGCGTAGGCCTCTTAACTTTTCAATCCGACTTCTTGTGAAAGTTTTTCTCTGGTACCTGAAAGCTCTTACAGTAACTCCATCATCTGAGCGATAAGTGTCCCTGTCCTAACGCAACGATGAGAGAGAGGAGGCAGGAGAGGATGGGATTAAGCAGAGTGCGCTCCTGGGTTAGAAAGGCGGCCCTCCTTCTCTGAACTGCAAATGGTTTGTTTCGTGCTTCCCAGAGATACTGAAAGCCAGGTGTATTTAAAGAAAAGATGTGTGCAACAGGGGTAAGAGTCTGTCACAGAGTACCTGAAGTGCAAACTGTCCATAGGAGACACAGCTCTCTTTCTTCTTTGTAGTTCCTGTCAGTTACCAGGCAGATGTTTTACATTTCACTGTCTCTCTCACACTCTTTCATTTTCTTTGCTTCTCTCCCTCTGACCTGGGACTTGCGAATAGCGCTGGTAACGGCTTGGAGGACAGCAAAACTGTTGAATAATTGTTTCTTTCATGAAGCACAGTGGGGAGATTAAAGAATTAACTAAGAGCCTGTGAAAAAGGAGCATTTGTATGAAAATGTTCAAATAAGGTAGCAAATATGCTCCAATAAGGTAGGTGAACTCAGCTGTAAAGGCAATATCAGTATCTGTAACTGTACTGGATTCCACTGTTGACCCATATACTTCCTGTGTTATTCTTCAGGAGCTCAAAAACCAGTTTAACACCATTTAGACTAAATCTCTTTTGTTGTCAAGTAATATTTTCCATCTTAGAAGTGACTTTTGGGCTGACATTAAAGACAGTGGTGAAAAGGTGTTAACTGGAAACTTGTGGTTTGGCCTGAGCTAGGGTTAGGGTTGGGGGATCATTAGTCATCAGTCTGAACTGATCTCTGGAAACTTTGACATAGCCTTATTTTAGGGTTCTGTTTCTGACTTAGACTTAATCTAAGAAACCTAAATCTATATCAGATACAGGCCAACAGAAAAATTCACAAAAAAGGTGGTAGCAAAATACCACTCAGACCATATACAAGTAATCCTAGCTAAATACTATCGCTTAATGCCAGAGTGGAATAAAAAATAGAGGATCAGTCCCAGCCTGAACCTGTTTAAATTCCAATTACAGGTTCCTGCACCTCACACTGTGCCTACTTCAGGCACAGACTTCGGCTGCACTGTTTCTGCTAATAATTTCAGTTCCAGGAAGCATAGCAGACACCTGATAACAGCACACTGCAGTGTGAATATCTTAGGAGCGAATGGGGAAAGACAACATTCTGTGAAGGTGAAAAATACTGCTTCCGATTTCCAGTTCGGAGAATTTGCAGTTTCCTGGAGTTTGCAGAAGAGTAGTGCTAAATTGCTTTATAGGGGGCTCCAGTATTGTGTACCACATATAATTGATTTTCTACCCTTTAATAAACACAGAGGGGAAGTAACCCTTGCGTTAATCAATGTGTATAGTACTAGCAGCACCTAGGTGACTTGGATCACATTCTGTCTGTCTGCAGAAGATGAAGAAAAAAACCCATGGGGTTGTCTATTGTGATCCTGACATGACTCCACTCGGGGGTGACCAGAGCTATTGTCATTCCACATTGCAGATTCTGAAAGTCCTTCTAAAAGGAGGAACGCAAGAAAGGGTGATCGAGGCATCTCGACAGAGCTGCCAGGAAAAGCTGGGAAAAGTGTTTTGCATAGTTTTGTAATTGCGGGAGATAACATCTTTATAACACAAGCATTGCTGGTATGAATAGGACGCTGATTCAAAGACCTTTGCATGTTGTCAACAGGCTACATGTGGGGAAGAACGACGTGTTGACGTTCTACGATGGAGATGACCTGACAGCGAAGATCCTGGGACAGTACAGTGGTACCCATGGCCGCTTCAAGCTCTATACCTCTATGGCTGACGTCACCATCCAGTTCCAGTCTGATCCTGCCACTAACATCTTTGGCTACCACAATGGATTTGTCATCCACTTCTTTGGTAGGGATATACATTCGATTCCGTCCATCCTGTAAAAACAGGATTTAAGTGCAATTCTTACTTCTTTAATATGATTGTCAAATAGTAGACAGTGCCACCCTGTGGCCAGCAGGTGTAAGGCCATCCGCTGTATTTAACATGCAGTAAAGATTGGATGAAGGAGCCATGCTGTAGGGTGTGTGGTTAAAAAGCAGTGAAAAATGAAAAATTCCATTCATGAGGAACCGAAGGCAAAACAATAAGACATTGCAGAAAGATTGTTCTCTTATTTCAAATCGCATATTAACATTTGTGCATCTGAATCTTAATAAATCATGTAGAAGGGTAATAGCATTGACTAGCACTAATTGAGCACAATTACATTCTCCACATAAAATGTCCCAGTCTTCCAGCATTGTGGCAACAATTCACAAAATATTGTGTAAGAGCTAATTAAAGTGAAGTATTTAATTATAAGCTCATTACAGAAATGGCACGAAGCACTGTAGGGAGTTCCCTCGAAGTACAGGGATTCATTGCAGTGGTGCCGAAGGACTCGCCTGTGTCAGCATGTCTGCGGCACTCTATAAGAGAACAAAAGATGCGTCAGCCTCCAGGGGGCGAGAGAGAGGACTTGGGCCAGATGCTGGCTGTGCTCAGGGCAATGCTGAGCTCGGTGCAATCATCGTAATGTGGGCTGAATTACACAGTACCGGGGGAACGACGCTTTCCTCTGAGCTTCTGGAGCTTTGCCAATGTGAACTAAAATGAATGAATGAGAGGTTGCAAAGGCAGGATAACGAAATCGCGCAGGAAGATGTCAGAAACAGGACTGCGGATCACCAAACAGAGAGGGTAAAATGCTGATCCATAATTCTACTAGACAGGTGGATGCAGAGGTTAATTCTGCGCTGTAATAAAACTACAAAAAAGGAAGAGGAAACAAGATACTTAGCAGTGGAGCTTTCTTCAGGTTAGCTTTTAGCATGGAATTAACCTCGAGTTGATCCTCTGCTGCTTGCACACTCTGGCCTAGACAGACATCCAGCTGGGGATCAGAGTTTAACAGTGCACTAGAAGAGTCATTTTGTTCAGAACAATAGCCTCCTTTGCTATTCTTGTTTTCTGCACATCCGATCAGAGCTGTTAACCTTGTCCTCCGCAGCTACCTTGCCGACTAATGTGCTTGTTAATCGACACAGATTCAGGAAGGACAGTTAGGGAAATAAACATTTGCCGTTTTATCATCTGTTTTGCGGCTATTTTTCCCCCTGGCTGAACCCGACCCACTGGAGCGGCGTCACGCGTCTGAAACAGACCGCTGTCCGAGGCAGCTACAGTGGGGGGCGGAGTGACAGATTGGATTCGCACCCTCAGCCCCAGTGAAGAGAGATGCACAGGACTGTCTGGATACAGGCAGCCAGGAAGCCCGGCTGTTAGGAGGAAAAGAAAAGGGGAGAGCTGCAATAGCAGAGGGGTATAGCTGAGCAACTGCAGACCGAGCTCCACAGATGGGCTGCACTTTGTATTCTTTTCACAGTGCACACAGGCAGACTGAATTATGCAGGTGCAGCAGGTTATGCACAGTGCAAACACAATTACAGTGCGTGTTTGTCAGTATTACCCATATTTGCTCGGTTGTGCGCCCATGCCACCCATGTGAGCCTCTGCCTGGGCAGTGGGGCATGCCAAACGACCTGGCACCCCTCCCCTGGCACGCAGCAGCCCTCGCAATTACACAGATCGGTCTCATCCTTTTTATTTGTCCGAGGTTCATTTGCAGCAGCTCTCCAAACTTCTAACATTTCATATTTCATAGTGTTCGTGTGGCACCTTTCTTCCCAGAGGGTTTTGTGTACGGGAATGGGGATCCTGCACCCACCTGGCTGACACAGGGCAGCTGTTCTGTGCCACACAAGCCCTTGTGATGCAGCGGATCTGGTGGAGAAGGGGGAACCTGGTTCACTACTTGAATTAAGGGAGAGATTGTGCAAGCCCAAAGCGCAACTTAATTGTCCTGCAATGCTCCAAAAACACCCTGCTATTTGCTGCTATTCATGTGTCCTGACACAATCGGAGCCTTTGTTCCTAGTGGTGAGGTGATACACCAGGGCTGGCCGTCAGCTCTGTGGAGACAGCTGTTACTAATCAGCAGCGCGAACACCATTATCTATCATAAAGCCCATTTGAACAATTAACAAGCAGAGAAAAGGAGATTCCATACCTGACAGAGAGAGGAGTCAATATCCACCAATCGATTAAACTCATTGATGCTCCACTTTGTCGGCCTTCTGCTGTGAATCAAAACGCACGAGATCGTGAGTCACGCAGTCAGGGTGACCTACTGTATGCACTGCACCGTACTGTGGGTGCTGGCACACACGCTGTACCAAGGCACCACGGCAGCAGAGCGCCCGACAGGAGGGGGAGCGTGATAGATGTGAAATTTGCAACAACTGTCCTCTGTCTTGACCCTGAATGAAATAGAAAACCTATGGTGCTAAGACAGGACAAAATAATTAAATTGGTCAATTGAAGGCACAAAACAATTTAAAAAAACAGCATTGTTAGTGTATGTTTTAAAAGCAATGCTTCGTTTATCCCTCCTGCTTGCTGTGAGACTGTGTTTGTCTCTTTTTGAGCATGGTTTGCATGTGTAGCACTCGAATATGTTCTCAGAGCTTTTGTCTGTAACTGTTTTCACCTGGACTTGCAGACATCAGTCCTATCAGGTGACAAAGGGGTCCGTGTGGCCCCTGCCCACAGTGACACAGCAGGTCACCCCCTCTCCTCTCATCCTCAGAGGTCCCCCGAAATGACACCTGTCCAGAGCTCCCCGAGATTCCCAATGGCTGGAAGACCACCTCACACCCAGAGCTCATCCATGGCACAGTCGTCACGTACCAGTGCTATCCTGGGTACGATGTGGTGGGGACAGAGATCCTGATGTGCCAGTGGGATCTAACATGGAGCGGGGACCTGCCCAGCTGTGAAAAAGGTAAGGGAGCCTCCATAGAGCCCAGCTATAGGAGCTGTATTTGAGCTGTTAATCCTTTCACTGTCATGGCTCAGGCTGGACCTCTGCCAGGCGAGGCCAGGGGGAGAGGCCTTGCTGTCGGGTGGAGAGCGTGAGCAGAAGCAAGGCTGCCTTGCAGTTCTGTGCCATCCTAGGGGTGGCATTGCAATGGAATTGTGGGGGACAGGTGTTTAACAGAGCTGGATCCAGGGTTCATTGACTTGGCTGTTATGCATTTCAAAGTGCACAGAAATGCACTGACGTGCTGCTTCAACAGGGCTTGCAGATGCTGCTCGTCACATCTTAGTTAAAAAAGCATGAACTGGAGGGTGGAGCGCTAGCTGTTTTCCCCACAAGGCTACCAACCCCATTCCAGGAGATCAGAAAACTGCAGTGTTTGTGCATGCTCTTTTTTTGTGCCTGGTGTTGAATGGCGTTTGTCATTATAACACAGCAGGGCGCTGCATCAGACAAGAAGAAAGAGCCAGTTCCCAGTCGGGTTCTTGTGTTGTGCGTGTTATTTGCTTTTATTTGTTTCTTTTCATTTCAGATTGTCAGATGTACGTTTTACTCCCATGCATTTGTTTTCTAATTGAGAATATCCGCTCTGTCCATCGCCCACATACCAGTGCCACCCACATGCCAGACGTTGCAGGTTGATGAGTGTTTTCTGGTTGATAACACAAACTCAACTGCAAAGTTACCAAAAAAAAACACAGGGAAAGAAAATTCCAATCACCAAGCCGTCGATTCGCCATCAGTCCCTGTGTGACATGCTGTTTTCTTTGGAACCCCACAAGGCAACACTTCTATGCATCTTTTCAATAAGTCTTAACTCCACCGCTTGCAATCTTGTAATTCAGACACACAATGCGGCTTTTGTGAGGTTTGGGTCATTCTATTTCAGATGTCATTCAAAAAACATTTTCTTCCTTCACTGCCACTGTGTAGGCCTTTAGGAAGTACACAATACAGTGCAGAATAAAAACAACTTAAGTCAGCTATCCAGCTGTTACTGGACATATTGTCATTTTCCTTGTGAATTTGTGTAGATCTATAGCCATCATGTGGCACACTCCTTTTTTCGTGACTCTTCTGTAATACCCTAGTGGTGTGAGACTGAGTAACTAATAAATAAGTCCAGACAGATACCTGAGCTGCTGCTCTTAGCACCTGTGCCTCCCCGCCATTGTCTCTCTTAGCTAAGAGGTGGTTACAGGAGTTTGACATTGCTGCCAATCTCATTACATTTTGCGGCAGCACAAAGGCAAATGTGAACAGCTGACTCGCACTCAAGAGACTCCCGCTCAATGTCATCACTTCCTGTACCAGCATTTTTAATGCACTGGCTCTCTCTTGCTGATCAGAGAAATGGGTTCTGGGCTGCAGCTGTGAAACCAAGACTGAAAGCAAGGTAATCTCTTTATTCTGCTGTTCTGCATTTGTGGGGGTCCCCTGCGTCTCGCACTGGCCAGATGCTGCCTGTTGCTCTCTGAGAATGAGGTCCCATAGCTCCTGGCCGAGGTAACGGGGAGAGCTTTGTGGCTTTCTTTAAGGAAGTCCAAGGACCTAAAGGATTCAGTGTTTTCACTCAGGCCTCACTCCTGCACACCACTCAGAGCTCCTGCAATGAAACAGTGAAACAACAATGAATTGTACTTAACGCCTCCTTAAGCTAAGGTGTCTGGAATAAATCAGTACATGCTCATGAAAACTCATAAAGCTCAGTCTACTATATGCATTGCAACAGGCAAATTAATATGCAAGAACATTCTCAGTCTCAGAACATACCTTTTAGCTTTCAAACTGTAGGAAACCGCCTGGATCTTAGTTGCTTTGCACTGCCATTCCTGCTTAGCTGTTATGGTAAGAAATGTTTTAGCTGAGACAGGTACAGTCCTCTGCAATCATTCAAGTAAGCCCAGCCTTCACGCTGCTGAGTGGATATGTCACTGCCCAGCAGCTCAGTCCTGAAAGCATAGACAAGTAGCTTCTCCTTTACACTACTTCACTGTAAAAGCACATCATGGACTTGGTTTAAACACTGATCCCTGTATAATTTAATACATGCTTTAACAATGTTATAACCATAAAATGTATGCTTAGTATAAAACAATTCTGTTGTGCTGACATTTACAAGGGTACAGAATAGACTTCAAATTGGCCTGCATGCTTGTTCTACTATAGTAGCTGAATAGGATTTACATCTGCAGCCCTGAGCTGTGTGCTTTAATGTATGCAGCGCTCAGTAACGTGTCCTTCAAGAGCCAAGCAGATGAGTGAGAGATGGATGGAGAACCATGTGCACAGTGCTCAGCACTGCTGAGGAACAGAAGGATGCCATTTCTCTCTTGGTGTCCCAGCTCAGGGGTGCAAGGCGAAGTCACTACCTATGTGTGCAACACCTGTTGTCCCTGGCTGATGTGAGCTTGGGGGGGGGGATCTACGATGTTTTCCATTTTCCACCGTGCAAGCCCCCCCCCCACACACACACACACATACACACACACAACCAGCCCCTTTCCAGTTCATGCTTTTTAAATAAGATGCGACAAGCAGCATCTGCAAACCCTGTTGAAGCAGCATTTCAGTGCATTGCTGTGCATTTTGAAACACATACCAGCAAAGTCTATGAACCATAGATCCAGCTCTGTTAACACAGTTATACACCTATCTCCCACCCACCCTTCCATTGCAATGCCACCCCTAGGATGGCACAGAACTGCAAGGCAGAAGGGCACAGCCCTGCTTCTGCTCACACTCTCCACCCGACAGCATGGTCTCTTCCCCTGGCCTCCCCTGGCAGGGGTCCAGCCTGAGCCATTACAGTGAAAGGATTAACAGTGTTGACAAGGCCATTGCAAAGCACCGGGGGCACAACTCTTCATTTTTTTCATTATGGCTTAAAGTGTTTTATAACCATACCAAAGTAATTTATGTCAAAACAATGGTCACGCTGCATTTAACAAGCAGACATTTAAAATCAAAACGTTAATGGAAAACCGTAAATCATTTGGGTATGCCTAATTACTGTGGTGGAAACGCAGCTTGCCGATGCACTTTTCTGCTCTGGTAAACTCAAATGGCAGGGGCGCCACCTTGTGGTCATATGATGTACTACCGGGCTTTTCCAACATGGATTTGACATTTTCAAGACTTAAAAGTCCTGAGGCAAACGCCTGGGTTCCACATCTGAAACGCTGAGTAATAGTGAGTTTTAGAAATAAGTACTGCATTAGAGTACATCAGAGGATGGGAAAACACTGTTCTTGTTAAAATATAGATTTAGGACATGTAGTGCAGTAAATGCAGGGTCATGCAGTAAACTTGAAACTGTAAGTCCAGAAACAGGGTCCTCATATGGAAAACAGAACCCTGGGAAATTAGAGCATGTATGCTTTGTCTACCAGGACTGATGAGGGGATGCGATGGCTATAAAACAGGGGAGCAAAGTGCACTGTGGAGCTGTAGGCTTGTAATATTCAGTGTTGGAGCGACGATCGCTTATGCTTTAGATACCTCCTCAGTCCCCACAGAGCGAGCAGAGGTGCTTAAATCCCCCACTGCAGGGCACGTCCTCTTCAGTCCGCCTGGGTGCCTGCTGGGTCTGTGTATCTGCGGCTCTGCCACCTCCACCTAATACCAAATTCACACACTGGAGGCAAAATGGAGAGTTTGCAAAACCGAATTTCAGAACACTTACAACCAACAGGCCGTTTACCCCATGGATCCCGTTTGGTCGAGAGCAGCTAATTGATCCTAGGATCTCATCCAGCTATTCCTGGAAAGAAGCCAGGGCACCAGCACCCACCACCCTCTGTGTAAAGAAGTGCCACCTGCGCTCGGTTTTAAATGCCCTTCCACTAGTGCCCACATGGGCTCTCTGGTTCATGTTCCACTGTTCGAAATCTACTGGACCAACTTTGTTGGTGCCTTTCAGGACTTTTAAACTGGAAACGGGTCCCACGTCATTTGCTATCAAAGACAGTATGTTCTACCCCTTGCCACAGCAACTTAATCCAGAACATCCTTTATTTAATTCAACTGTTTTTTTTTCTGCTTGGCTCAGTTAAGTAAATAAGTAATTAAGGAGGTGATTGAAAACAAGCAAGTTGTGCAGCAGAGCAGATTGTGAGCGTGTGCGTGCGTGTGTACATGTATGTGCACGTGCATGTGTATGTGTGTGTGTATGTGCACGTGCATGTCTAAGCATGTGCACCTGTATGTTTGTGTGTGCATGTGTGAGCGTGTGTGCACCTGTATGTTTGTGTGTGCATGTGTGAGTGTGTGTGCACCTGTTTGTATGCGTGTGTATGTCTGAGCATGAACGTGAGTGCGCGTGTGCACGCGTGTGTGTGAGGACAGGTCCACCTGCGGAGCTGCAGCAGCAGTGAGGATTGTCTCCCGTGTTTGTGCTCCAGTGGTCACGTGTGCAGACCCCGGGACCGCGGAGCACAGCCGCAGAGTGATGTCAGGGCCCCGGTTCACGGTGGGCTCCACGGTGCAGTACGTGTGCAACAAGGGCTACGTGCTGTCGGGCAACAGCCTGCTCACCTGCTACAGTCGGGATTCTGGGAGCCCCAAGTGGAGCGAGAGGCTGCCCAAGTGTGTTGGTAAGTGCGAACCCCCCAGCCCAGACCGGGGGCGTCTCAGGCAGAGAGGGGTGGGTGTGGATCCCATGTGTAGCTTCTGTGGTGGTTAAAATGAAGAGACACCCTTAAAGATGGAGGTATCCATGTTATTGGCATCCATAAATATGGGGGTATCTTTTTTTTTTACATCCACAAATATGGGGGGTATCTGCTTTACTGACATCCACAAATCTGGGGGTATCTGCTTTATTGACATCCACAATGATGGCGGTATCTGCTTTACCGACATCCACAAATATGGGGGTATCTGTTCTATTGACATCCACGATGATGGGGGTATCCAGTTTATTGACCTCCACAAACATTTGGGTATCAGATTTTGTTCACATCCACAAAGGTGTGGGTATCCAATTTATTGTACTGCCAAGGGTTAGGGTGTTCTGGCGATTCAGGCTGCAAGCTGAAGGCTATACAGTAACTGCTCTAACCGGGAAGAGGCTGGCGCTTGTTATGTCACCCGTGTGCTCTGATCATTCCGTGTCAGCGCGGCTGCGGATGGAAAGAGGAAGCAGGAGAAGACAGATCCCGGGCAGGCCTGTCTGCCTCGCCCTCCTCTCTCACGGTTCACACAGCAAGCTCACGAGGGCAGGAACTAACATTTTAGGAAACAAACACAAGGCTCTGTATTCCGAAAGCGCCGGCAAGCACTGGTTTGAGCAGACACCCTTTCCAGCATGCCTTTACCACTCCTCGATGCCTTGATCCTGCTTCTTTCCACTGGGCTGAGCTCTAATTAAACAGCTCAGAGGGCTGTCGTGTCTCTGATAACAGAACCCAGCACCTCTGAAATCAGTCCCGAGGACAAAACAGGCCTGTGGCCCAAGACAGTTGTTGGTTGCTAAAGTCTTTATCTTCACTCTTCATTTACAAATGGATTAAATAAATGGAAGGTACAGCCAGTCGTAGCTTTCTCTCAATAACAACTCTGCCACCTGCTGGACATTAGAGGTACAACACTCACTTCTGTGAAAGATTTTTCAATAACCCTTCAAGCGACTGACTGCAGAACATGAGCAGCTGAACTGGAAGGAACGTAATGTTACGGTAAGGATGGGAGAGATTGAAAAGGAAAACAAGGACGGATATACACCTAAAATCCAGAATAAAT